GTTAGGGTTTATGAAGGTTTCATTATCCAGGCATGATTGATTCAGCCATTGGTGATCTCAGTCTCCAGCTCCTCTCTCCTGCTGGAGGTGGGACAAGATTTGAAGTGGAGGGCTGTGCAGAGCTGAAAATCATGGTCTTTCTCATGACCAGCCCCATACTGAAGCTGTCTCAGAACCCCTCAGCCAAGAGTCATTTCAGCAGCATACCAAAGACACTTGTCATTCCTAATACTAAGGACATTCCAAGGATTTTAGAAGCTCTTGTGCCAAGTACCTTGAGAGTAGATTTCTATTTGTAAACAATTGCTCTGGCTGCAGAAGGCTATGACGTATTTAAGCAGAGGGAAAAAAGAGTAGGATGTGGCTCTCCTGGTGACTCAGTGGTAAAGAATCTGCCTGCCAATGCAGGAGACCCAGGTTCAATCCTTGATCCGGGAAGATTGCACATGCTGCAGAGCAGCTGTTGAGCCTGTGCTCTAGAGGCTGGGAGCCACAGTTACTAAGCCTGTGTGCCCTAGAGCCCATGTTCCAGAACAAGAGAAGCCACTGCAATGAGAAGCTTGCACACCACAAAGAAGAGTAGCTCCTATTTGCCATGACTAGAAGAAAGCCCGCGTGGCACATAAGACCCAGCACGGCCAAAAACAATAAATACATAAATGAATAAATAAGATTAAAAAAAAGAAAAGAGTAGGATGACTTGTTTTTGGTTTGAGCAACTGGGTTGAATGTGGTATCACTGCCTGAAAGAGGAATAGGTTTGGGAAGAAAGCTATTGGAAGTCAATCTGGGCCACCTGAGTTAGACACCTGTGATTTAGACAAGTGGCGTGTCAAATGGAAGTGGAGTATATGAGCCCACAGCCCAGAATAGACCTGTCTGCAAATCCATGCTGAAACCAAGGATGATCTAGAGAAGAGGGCCAAGAACCCTGCTGGTAGGAACCTCACTCTCTTAATAGACAGATTGCCCTTATTGGAGCAGGAGTAGAGAAAAAGGGAGGGGAAAACCAGGTGGTTTGCAATAGTTATGTCAGTAATCAGGTTGAGGGAAAAAATGATACATTCATTGATTCATCATTCATTCAGTAGTATGCATTTGCTCGGCAGCTACAGTGGCTGACAACCGGCAGGAGATGAAGAGATAAATATGACCTGGTTCCTGCTTTTAAAGACCTCACAGTTGAGTAGAGGAAAATAAATGCATTTATCACCCAGTGACCTATGTACACAAAGCACAGTGTGGTCACTGTTAGCTGGGAAGCTGAAGAGAGGCATCCAGAAGAGATAAGAACTGAGAATCTGCTCATAGGAGGCCAAGATTGGCATGGATGGCGAGGGGTCCCCAGAAAGGTTGGGGGAAAGGAGAACGGATACGGAAGGGCTGAGACCAGAGACAAGGGGCTCTTGTGTGAAAGTGACTGGAAGGGACCTTATAACTCCTTAAGACTTAAGGAACTGCTCAACTAGAGGTGGTAGGATGAGATGAAACGATAGTCACCTTATTCATGTTACTGTGATGCGATGAATAATGTGGTTGAGTCAGAAAACCACGGACTGCATGTTCACAGAGCACTGTGCTTTCTGACATGCTGCAAGACCCCGGGCAGAAACGTCTTTACAATGGTTACACAGCATCGTATGTAAGGTGTGTTCTTGGAGGAGAAGCTGGGACTCACTTTTGCCACAAGTAAGTGGGTCGGCTTCCTCTGAGATGTGGAAGCCAGGAAGATCAGTCATTCACGACCAGAGGTTGAGATGGAGTATGTAATGCTTCCTTAGAGAAATGAACTTGACTGGAGCTCAGACCGCCTGATGAAGACACCGTGGCTTTCCAGAAAGAGCCGGGCTTGATCAAGTGCCACATGTACCTAGTAGCACCTGTGGTTCCCTTGAGGAGCTTTGTGACAGGTGCTGCAGCCAGCATGTGTGAGAATGGGGGCATAACCGCACCCTTTCGCTTTAGAGGAGGAAGTGAGAGCATGGGCTAAAATGCCCATCGTGGAGAAGACGTTCATAAACCACCATGGGTGCCTTTGTTATTATGCGGGATTAGACTAGTTCTCTGTCTCTTTTTTCCTCCGTCCTCGCCCCCACCTCTTGGATACGGAAGGGCTGAGACCAGAGACAAGGGGCTCTTGTGTGAAAGTGACTGGAAGGGACCTTATAACTCCTTAAGACTTAAGGGACTGCTCAACTAGAGGTGGTAGGATGAGATGAAACGATAGTCACCTTATTCATGTTACTGTGATGCAATGAAAAATGTGGTTGAGTCAGAAAACCACGGACTGCATGTTCACAGAGCACTGTGCTTTCTGGCATGCTGCAAGACCCCGGGCAGAAACGTCTTTACAACAGGAGGTTACGAGACGAAAACGGTTACACAGCATCGTATGTAAGGTGTGTTCTTGGAGGAGAAGCTGGGACTCACTTTTGCCACAAGTAAGTGGGTCGGCTTCTTCTGAGATGTGGAAGCCAGGAAGGTCATTCATTCACGACCAGAGGTTGAGATGGAGTATGTAATGCTTCCTTAGAGAAATGAACTTGACTGGAGCTCAGACCGCCTGATGAAGACACCATGGCTTTCCAGAAAGAGCCGGGCTTGATCAAGTGCCACATGTACCTAGTAGCACCTGTGGTTCCCTTGAGGAGCTTTGTGACAGGTGCTGCAGCCAGCATGTGTGAGAATGGGGGCATAACCGCACCCTTTCGCTTTAGAGGAGGAAGTGAGAGCATGGGCTAAAATGCCCATCGTGGAGAAGACGTTCATAAACCACCATGGGTGCCTTTGTTATTATGCGGGATTAGACTAGTTCTCTGTCTCTTTTTTCCTCCGTCCTCGCCCCCACCTCTCTTTCAAGACAAAGGAAATCTGGCCTCTCCAAGCAGGCGGACTTCAGCAAGCAGAGGCCGTCCACGCGGACCCGTGGCAGGAAGCGTGTGCTCGGCCTGCAGAGGGGCGCGGCGAGCCTGTCTGCGTGCGGGGCTCCGGATGCGGTGGCTGGGGCGACAGCAGCCTGGAGCAGGAGTCGGATGTGGCCGCCTGTGATTGGGTGCCAGGAAGCCGTATGCTAATGAGGCGTCCTGTGGCTTTGGAGAGTTTCTGGGCTATTTCCGGGCGAATATGGTGTTTTGAAGTTTGCCGTTTTACCAAGTTACGGGATATGATATGGAAAATGTTTGTGAGGAGTCGAGGGGAGCGACACAAATGTGGCCGTCAGTACAAAGTGAGCGGTTCCCGCGGATGCTGCTTGTGCAGCTGCCACTGGTCGTTGATGATCGTTCTTCTCTCCTTTCTGGGAGAGTGAGAGGGAGAAAACGCCGTCTGAGTGGTTTTGTTTGTTTGATGTTCTGAAAAGTAAGCTTTCTGCAGGTTTAGTGAGAGCTTTGATGCGCTGTAATATCTAGATTAAGAGTGGGTTCTCTATGTTGCTGGGTTTGGGTAGACTCTAGGAGCTGTTGATGGATAGAGGAGTCTTGCGTGCTGCGTTGTGTCAGTTAGATGGGATTCAGCAGCTGCACTGACTACCATAACCCCATGAGGTTTGGAGTTAAAGCAGTTGTTTTAAGAGGTTTCTCTAGGTTGTTTATGTGGGGAGTCCTTAAAAGCCACAAGAAGGCAGGTTTTCTTCCAGAATGTGAAGTCAGCTCTTGAGTTTTGCCTTTTGCCTTTTTGTTGTTGTTTTTTTTTTTTTTTCTTTTTTTGACTTTGCCTTTTGCTTTTGAGGACTGTTTTTTCCCCCCTGGAAGAGTAAGAGGCAGGGAGCACCATCTGTGATTTTTTCCAGTGAAAATGAGGGGGGAAATTCTCTGAAGCAGTTTTGAGTTTTTGTTTTCTGATTGGGTTTACAGATCATGAACTCTTTTAACATATCAGGTGTGGCCCAAGGTTATTAAGGATTTCCCTCACAGCTCAACTGGTAAGGAATCCGCCTGCAGTGCAGGAGATACCAGTTCCATATCTGATTCCTGGGTCGGGACCATCTGCTGGAGAAGAGATAGGCTACCCACTCTAGTGTTTTGGAGTGTGTAATCTATGGGGTCGCAAAGAGTCAGACAGGATTGACTTTCCCTTTCAAGGGTTTTAAAACAAAGTTACTTTCCTTTCTGTACTCTTCTGTCAGTCAAGGCACTCTTCTGAAACATGTAGGCAGCCGTCACTTCCTGTGCTCTATAGTGATTTCTTTCTCTGTATCAGTCGAAGCAAAGGAAATAGAATACGTGTAGGCTTAGGATTTATAGGACTTTAGTCCAGAGGAGGAATGAAAGAAAGCAGAATTTGGCTGAAGCATGGTGGACAGAAAGCTAATGGCAGCTATTGAAGGAGAGTGACCGCATCTGCTGTGCATTTTAAGGCCACTCCAAAAGCTCTGTGGCAGTTATACTTTTGGGAAACAGAGGAAACAGTGTCAGACTTTATTTTTTTGGGCAGATGGTGACTGCAGCCATGAAATTAAAAGATGCTTACTCCTTGGAAAGAAAGTTATGACCAACCTAGATAGCATATTAAAAAGCAGAGACATTACTTTGCCAACAAAGATCCATCTGGTCAAGGCTATGGTTTTTCCAGTAGTCATGTACGGATGTGAGAGTTGGACTGTAAAGAAAGCTGAGTGCCGAAAAATTGATGCGTTTGAACTGTGGTGTTGGAGAAGACTCTTGAGAGTCCCTTGAACTTCAGGGAGATCCAACCAGTCCATCCTAAAGGAGATCAGTCCTGGGTGTTCATTGGAAGGACTGATGCTGAAGCTGAAACTCTAATACTTTGGCCACCTCATGCGAAGAGTTGACTCATTTGAAAAGACCCTGATGCCGGGAGGGATTGGGGGCAGGAGGAGAAGGGGACGACAGAGGATGAGATGGCTGGATGGCATCACCGACTCAATGGGCATGGGTTTGGGTAGAGTCCGGAAGTTGGTGATGGACAGGGAGGCCTGGTGTGCTGCGATTCATGGGGTTGCAAAGAGTTGGACATGACTGAGTGACTGAACTGAACTGAACTGAGTTGGCACAGAGGAACCTTGCGGGCTACAGTCCATGGAGTCACAGAGAGTAAGACATGATTTAGTGCCTAAAGAACAGCAATGAGGTGGCAAGTGTGAGGGCCAGTTAGGCACCTGCCACATTCATCTACCTGGGAGAAGCTGAAGTGATAATAAAGAGGAGATCTGTGAGATACTTAAGTGGTAAAGTTGAAGGGAATTTGTTGACAAAATTCAACTAACCAGGAGGGGAAAAAATGGGAGTTTTATTTGAGCCAATCTGAGGATTAACCTGAGACACAGACTCTCGGAAAGCTGTTAGAAGTCAAAGACAGTCATATACATTTTCCAAAGAATTGTACATCAAAATGACATACTGATATTTTACATAAAGTTCACCAAGGAACCAGGTAGTCCCGGTGAACTTGTACAAAGTAAGCAGCAAGTCACCATGCCCTTCTCCAGAGGTGAGAAAGAATGATATTCTTTTAAGAAATCCCATTGCTAATGTCAAAAGAAAGGAAAAAAAAAAATTATGGTTGACGAGCACTCCCATCTTTGAGGGATTCTGATTAACATGTAATGATGCACACTGCATTTGACGCAGTAAGCCCAAACACACAGAATTTTAGGTTTAATTTTTTTCATGTTCTGCTTTGAAATATAAAACATAAATTTTATTTCATCAGGATCACTGAAGACATGAGTGAGGGGAGCTGTCAAGAATAACTGTTGGGTCTTCTGACTTGATCAAATGTGTGGATGATGATTCCTTGTGTTAATGGGGGAAATGGAGGGGGAACTGAATTAGGTAGAGCAATAGGGTGGGCAGTGATGACAGAGTTCAGTTAGGGCAGATTTAGGAGAAATTTCTGACCTTCAGCAAATGAATGGCAAAGGAATTAGAACTCCCACAGCAGACCCTGAAGCAGCAGACTCCCCAGGCCTTGGCCTTACCTAGAAAATCCTCAGACACCAGCCTGTCCGCACCTCCTCTCCTCCTTCTACCCTGTGTTCTCTAGCTGTCTTCCAGTCGCTGAAACACACAACCTTGCTCCTTTCTTTGGGACATCATATTCATTGTTTTCTCCACTTAAAAGCAACTTCCAAAAAGAGGCCTTCCCTGAGCACCCAAATCTGAAGTGGCCGCCAAATCCCTCTCTGTTTGAACTCTTATCCTCTGCATGCCTCATCATCTCATCCTCTCAGGTAATTGTCATCTCTCTCCCCTACTAGAGTGTAAGNGTCCATACCGTTTCTGTCCTTTATTGTGCCCATCTTTGCATGAAATGTTCCCTTGGTGTCTCTAATTTTCTTGAAAAGATCTCTAATCTTTCCCATTCTATTGTTTTCCTCTATTTCTTTGCATTGATCACTGAGGAAGGCTTTCTTATATCTCCTTGCTATTCTTTGGAACTCTGCCTTTAGATGGATGTATCTTTCCTTTTCTCCTTTGCCTTTCACTTCTTTTCTCAGCTGTTTGTAAAGCCTCCTCAAACAATCATTTTGCCTTTTTGGCATTTCTTTTTCTTGGGGATGGTCTTGATCATTGCCTCCTGTAGAATGTCATGAATCTCCATCCATAGTTCTTCAAGCACTCTATCAAATTTTAATCCCCTGAATCTATTTGTCACTTCCACTGTATAACTGCCTGTTGGTTTAACTAAATGCAGTTTAAACTACCCCCTCCACCCAAGTATCCTGTGTTTGCCTTTTTGAATAAAGGCTTTTTGTGTTTTGCCTTTTTCTGGGTACATTAGGCTAGGAACATGCCATAGGAATGGCTTCCTGGATAGCTAAGTGGGTAAAGAATCCCCCTGCAGGGCGCGAGATGCAGTGGACGTGAGTTCAGTCCTTGGATCAGGAAGATCTCCTGCAGGAGAGCAAGGCAAGCCACAGCAGCTTTTTTTTTTTTACTCCAATATTCTTCCCTGGAGAATCTAGCCCCCTGGCCAATGGATCCTGGTGGGCTACATTCAATAGGGTCACAAAGAGTCGGACACTGGACTAAGTGACAGCATTTTCCACATATTGCAGGGAAATACATACACACCTGGGCTTTGATACTCAACTGGTTGACATAGAGGTCTTGTTATGAGTAATATGATAGGAAGAGTTACAAGGAAAATGGATTCAAAGTAGCTTTAAACATAATTTTGTTTTAGGGCTTCCCTTGGTGGCTCAGATGGTAAAGATTCCACCTGCAATGAGGGAGACCTGGGTTCGATCCCTGGGTTGGGAAGATCCCCTGGAGAAGGGAATGGCTACTCATTCTAGTATTCTGGCCTGGAGAATTCCATGGATAGAGAAGCCTCGCAGTCTACGGTCCATGAGGTCGCAGAGAGTCAGACACAGCTGAGGGACTTTCATTAGATGTTTTAAGATGGTTTGTTCTTTCTCCCCCTCAGTGTTATGACTTTTTCTTTGATTATTATGTTGGTTTAACTAAATGCAATTTAAAATCAACCGGGAAAAAATAAACAGTCAATCTAAGATAGACTTCATGGGCAGTTCAGTGGTTAAGGCCTGAAACTTCCACTGCAGGGGGCCTGGGTTCAGTCCCTGGTCAAGAAACTAAGATCCCACATGTCTCCAAGTGCAGCCAAAAAAAACCATTTTTTTTTTCAATCTTAAGAAAGAAGTGGAAAATTTTATTTAAGCCAACCTGAGGATTATAACCCACGAGACAGTCTCTCAGAAACTTCTGAGAACTGTTCTGCTATTGGAAGTCAAAGCACAGTTACATAAGTTCTTCAGACAAAGGATTATACCTCAAATTAACACATTGACAATTTATATAGTCCAGCAAGGTGAATTGTGGGTCATCCTGACCCCTTACAGGATTGAGAAAGGGTCCCCTAACAAGTTACCTTACTGGTGCCAGGAGGAAATCAATTTTTTTTAGGGGGGAGGTACATAGGAATTCTTATGTCAAAGGCAATCTATTAATGTATAATACAGATACATAATGCACGCTAAAGGGGATTGGTAGTGGCTCAAATGGCAGGGAGAATTTGGTACACTTTTCTTGTTCTGTCTTAAAAGTAATTTTTTTTCATCACTGATATGTACTGCTCATATCTACATTCAGGTGAGTAACCAGCAGAGGTTCTAAAAGTAAGTCAAATAAAAATTCAGGATTTTAGAAGGTTAAATTAAAAATGACAGTAAGAAATAACCTCATCCGCAGATGCTTGGTGTCATATTTACAAGGTTAGAAAACTAATTTGATACATCCCAGCACACCTTGGTCTTATACGAGTCAGGAAGAAGTGTTGGTGTCTTTTAGAGACAGAAGATAAGAGTTTCAGATTAAGTATTGATTTGTAATAGGCTAAGAATGTGAAGTCTTAGTTCCTTAAAGAAAAAATAAAAACTCTTGAAGAGTATTCAGATTTTTAAAAGTTGTATATAAAATGGCATTTTGAAAATGCATTTATATGTTATTTCTGAAAAGAGAAGAATGTGGAAAAAATGCCACCATCAATAAAATGTGGGAGACTGCAGCAAGGTAAGGCGCTAGAGATACAGTGGTAAACAAGACCTGAATCTGTTACTGAACTCAGGTCTGGCAGCTGGCTGCTTGAAAATCAGTGCTCAAGAGGCAAGTGTTGGTAGAAATGGAGAACATTGCTTTTAATCAGAATGCGAGCCATCTGGGGAGAAGTTGGACTCACGTCCCTGAAAACCAGCTCCTGAGATTCTGCTGGGCCATGAAAGTTTTTAACAGGGAAAAGGGAAGTAATCTCAGTTAATCGTTGGAGGTAGGGGGTCAGAGTCATCATCATCATCCCCCTGCTTGCAGGCTTGTTGACTTCTTATTTTTGTTTAGATGCTATCTTGTTTACACAGTTTGTTACATAACAGTTTGAAGATTACTGAAGGGGAAACTGGGGAAGGGATCTGTCCACCTGTTAATTACTTATTCTTCATTTCTACATCTTTGATATACAGAGAGAACCAACAGGTTAGGCAAGGTATTGTGTGATCAGAAGATACAGAAGGGAAAAAGAAAAAAAAAAAAAGATTTGGAAGGTGTGCTTGGGCCAGGAGATGAGTGGAGTGTGGGGATGCCTAGTTTAAGGTTACTTACTGTATAGCTTTGCTAAAGCGACAAGACAAAGGGGACCTCCTGCAAAAGCTCCTGCAAAGAACTGCCAAAAGGTGCTCACTCTTTTTGCTTTAAACACCTCACAGTTGAGAAGGGAGAAGTAAATGCATTTATAACACAGTAGGTAGAGGCACTTACAAAGGTAATTAGGGATACAAAACACAGTGTGGTCACTGGTAGCTGGGAAACTGAGGGGAAGCATCCAAAGAGGTAAGGAGAGCTGTGAATCTGCTCGAAGGAGGCCAAGATTGGCATGGATGGCGAGGGGTCCCCAGAAAGGAGAACGGATATGGAAGGGCTGAGACCAGAGACAAGGGGCTCTTGTGTGAAAGTGACTGGAAGGGACCTTATAACTCCTTAAGACTTAAGGGACTGCTCAACTAGAGGTGGTAGGATGAGATGAAACGATAGTCACCTTATTCATGTTACTGTGATGCAATGAAAAATGTGGTTGAGTCAGAAAACCACGGACTGCATGTTCACAGAGCACTGTGCTTTCTGGCATGCTGCAAGACCCCGGGCAGAAACGTCTTTACAACAGGAGGTTACGAGACGAAAACGGTTACACAGCATCGTATGTAAGGTGTGTTCTTGGAGGAGAAGCTGGGACTCACTTTTGCCACAAGTAAGTGGGTCGGCTTCTTCTGAGATGTGGAAGCCAGGAAGGTCATTCATTCACGACCAGAGGTTGAGATGGAGTATGTAATGCTTCCTTAGAGAAATGAACTTGACTGGAGCTCAGACCGCCTGATGAAGACACCATGGCTTTCCAGAAAGAGCCGGGCTTGATCAAGTGCCACATGTACCTAGTAGCACCTGTGGTTCCCTTGAGGAGCTTTGTGACAGGTGCTGCAGCCAGCATGTGTGAGAATGGGGGCATAACCGCACCCTTTCGCTTTAGAGGAGGAAGTGAGAGCATGGGCTAAAATGCCCATCGTGGAGAAGACGTTCATAAACCACCATGGGTGCCTTTGTTATTATGCGGGATTAGACTAGTTCTCTGTCTCTTTTTTCCTCCGTCCTCGCCCCCACCTCTCTTTCAAGACAAAGGAAATCTGGCCTCTCCAAGCAGGCGGACTTCAGCAAGCAGAGGCCGTCCACGCGGACCCGTGGCAGGAAGCGTGTGCTCGGCCTGCAGAGGGGCGCGGCGAGCCTGTCTGCGTGCGGGGCTCCGGATGCGGTGGCTGGGGCGACAGCAGCCTGGAGCAGGAGTCGGATGTGGCCGCCTGTGATTGGGTGCCAGGAAGCCGTATGCTAATGAGGCGTCCTGTGGCTTTGGAGAGTTTCTGGGCTATTTCCGGGCGAATATGGTGTTTTGAAGTTTGCCGTTTTATCAAGTTACGGGATATGATATGGAAAATGTTTGTGAGGAGTCGAGGGGAGCGACACAAATGTGGCCGTCAGTACAAAGTGAGCGGTTCCCGCGGACCCAGCAGCGGCTGGTGGCCGGAGGTTAAGACTATACTTTCAGGGATCATTTCTATAGTTCGTTACTAGAGAAGTTTCTCTGATCGTGTAGAGCACCCGAAACCACGAGGAAGAGACGCAGCGTTTTCTCCTGAGCGTGAAGTGGGCTTTTGGTGCTGCTTGTGCAGCTGCCACTGGTCGTTGATGATCGTTCTTCTCTCCTTTCTGGGAGAGTGAGAGGGAGGAAACGCCGTCTGAGTGGTTTTGTTTCCATTTGATGTCTTGAAAAGTGAGATTTCTGTGATTGTTGTTCTAGATTACTGTGAGATTCCTTTTGGTTTCTTTAACGGTTTTGTATTTAGAGTAGGCTTGGCTCCAAAGAAAAGTAAGACTCGCCAAATGTCTGCATCACTCTGTGCTGGTTTTTCCACTGATTGTCATATTTCCAAAAACGAAGCCTACAATTTTTCTATGAAGTAATGGGGCCAGATGTCGTGATCTTTTAGTTCCTGAATGTTGAGTTTTAATCCAGTTTTCCCATTCTCGTTTTTCCCTTTATCAGAAGGCTCTTTGGTTCCTCTTTGCTCTCTGCCATGGTGTTGATATTTCTTCTGGCAATCTTGATTCTAGGTTGAACTTCATTCAGCCCACCGTTTCGTCTGCATACAGATTTCTTGGGAGGCAGGTCAGG